GGGGCGGGGCTGGGTGACGGGAAGGGGAGGGGTGCTGTTATTTAGGTTGGTGGGGTGAATTGGGCTTTTTGGATGAGGAGGGAGGGGTATTGGTATGAAGGGAGATAAGTTGGGTCTTTGAGAAAGTTGTAGAAGTAACATGGTATTCGCCAGCCATGGAAAGGCATAAAGGAACCGAGAACGCAAGGGAGGAGGAAAAGAAGTATGATTGATACCCAGTAATTACAGTAATTGAACTACCTCTAGAATAGAGCAGATGGATCTTGATTTCCCTCCCTGTTAGGAGCCTAGAGGAAAACCTCCCATTATACAACCGTTGTATGTAGATGAAGAATATTCTAATACGGTTACAATAGCTTATAGCGGTTGCGACTTCTTACAACGGTAGGTAATACTATGGATTTGAAAAGGGGGGGGGGTAGTCTCCTCTAGAGTATGCTATATTACTAAAACCTCCTTACAACCATGACGAACTCGCTCGAAGCACCGACAATTCACAAGATAGACCATCGTATCACGCGCATCATACCACACATCCCAAACCCAAAGACCATTCATTTAATTACACGTCTACTCCTCATAACAACTTCTCAGTTTCCACGCCTCGCACAAACTAGGTATCTATATTCTCAAAAACAAGAAAAAAGACAAGGACAAGAAAAAAACAAGGAAGGAAGAAGCTAATTCATCTCCAGGGTATCATTTTCGCATCGAATCACATGCATCGTATCACATCAAAACCACTATTCCACAGTGTCTCCCATCTCACGCCAGGGCCCAGCCATACCATTAACCCCTCCAAATTCCGAGGAAGAGAACGAAAAAGAATGATCCAACAGTCCACCAAGTCAGTAAAAAGGCTTCCCACCCTCTACCTCTATCCAAACCCCCAAAGTCTGATTCAAACGCGCACCGCGTGAACGGAAATCATCACAACCTCTGCTTCCCCATCGTCTCAATCGGCAAAAGCACCATCGCTACAAAGGCCGCCAAAATCAACGATCCAGATACAAAGACCGGTGCATTCGGGTTAGCACTGGGGATATTAGCCGCAATAATCGGGGCACACAATCCTGCAATTCGGTTCAAGAAACTACAAATGCCCGTCCCAGTTCCCCTCACTGGGGCCGGGAAAACCTCAGGCGTATAAGCGTACAGAACACCATACATGATATTCTGGAAAAAGGCTTCGATCGAGGAGAAAGCAAGCTGGTAATCCGAGTCGGCCGAGATGGTAAAGAGAAAGAGGAAGATGCCTGAAATGCACGTCGAGATGGCCATTGTGCCCTTACGGCCAATGAATTTCATGTCAACGGTATAGCAAGCGATGATGGATCCGGGAACGCCCACGACCGAGGTGATGGCGTAGTTTCGATAGGTGATGTGGTTGCTGACGGCTTCTCCAGTTGAAGTCTTCCCCCTAGCGAGATATTGTGGGAGGAATGCATTGAAGAGGGGGTATCCCATACCAATAGTAGCCCAACAGAACCAGAGCAAGACGGTGGTCATACCGAGTTTTCTATCGTGAAAAAGAGGACCGATTCGTTCACCGGAGAAAGAACTCATCTTTCTCTTGATAATTTGTGAGGTGGTGAGTTTCACATCACTGACGGCAGCTGGATCACCTCCAATCTCGTTGAGAATTTCTTCCGTTAACCAAGTAGTGGTTCCGTTTTTTGCAGCAATTCCGTGAATTACGCCGACTGCCTCTGATTGACGACCTCGAGAGAGGAGGAACTTTGGTGACTCATAAAGATGGAAGAGGAAGAATCGTGCCAGAAACATGACAAATGTCAAAGTGCCCATGGTATAGACAAAGTATCTCCATCCTAAATTGACAGAGTAATTCGATCCCAAGAAGCCCCAGGCGATTAAGGAAGCAACAAGTTGACCAACTGGCCACCAAACAGAGAGAAGGGTGAGAAGCTGGCCAGATGCATTTGGAAGAAACTCCAAGAACAATGCCCCATCAACCGGAAGGTTACCACCAACTCCAACCCCAAGAGCTGCAAAAAGACCGCAAGCACCAATCCAGGAAGGTGCAGCACCTGCAGAGATTCCAAAAATACCAGCAAGCATCAAGGTACAGTTGAAAGCAAGACGGCGGCCCATAATATCAGAGCCAATACCCCAAAAACTGGCACCGATGCAAAGACCAATGAAAAGCGAGCAAGTGGTGTATCTCACGTTTGTTTCCGAGACACCAAATTCTGCCTGGAGGGAGGGTAGAGTTAAGGCGACACCTTGAAGCCACAGGCTGTCACTCTTGTCAGCCGAGGGTTACCACGTACACACTAATACACCACTTACTTGTCTGCAAACCATCCAAATCCACAAAGAATGAACAGTTCCCAGTTATACCACCCCATACCAATATCTTGAATAGCCTTATTGATGACCTTGCTCTTCACTATTTTAAATTAGCATCTGGTTTGAGAAGCGAGTCTTCGCAGCGCAAACTTACAATCATAAGCGGTATCATGACCTGAAGCTGCAACATCTTCATTGACCTCCGCCTTGAGGCCTTCGATGGTATAAGGATCATAGGTACTGCTGCTGGTTCTAATTCCGACTTCGGTATCTGGAGTCACATCACCCTCTTTCTTGGATCCGGCACCATCAAGGTGCGCTTCTTGTGCTTCGACTGATCTGCGACGTTCCCATTCGGCGACGACGGTGGGGTGACGTTGGGCGTTGGCGAGAGTAACTAAGACATTATGGTCATTGATCGAATCCTTATGCCCAAAAGGTGTAAAACCCATGAACTTCATTTTGGTTGGTATTGGTTGATCTTTTGTTTCTGCTTGTCAGCGTCTCAAAGACAGCACTTGATGAAATGAAAATCCGGTGATAGGATGGCACGTATGCAAGCGCTATGGGAACTGTAGCTATGGCTTTGCCTCGAGTTCTTCGAAGCTGTAATAGGTCTGGCGGTAGGTTTTATCGCATAGGGTCGAACGAGTCAACAATGACGCTGTTGGGATATTGAGACGAGCTTCAATGGCAGTGATCACGGCGATCGAGCACCGATACAGTAACAAGGGACGTGGACGAGGTTAGAAAAGCAATGTATTGCCAGTTTGTGTGCTAGTGAATCGATGTGATAGCCCAGCCAATTTGGCAAAGTACGAGTATTTGTATAGGTTTGCGATCGAATCTCCTTGCTGTCTGTGACTGTTGAGCTTCGACAACCGAGGAGAGGGAGAATGTAGAGGATGGAGGAGATTGATGTTGTTTCGTAGGTAAAAGTAGAGCAAGTAGGTGGAAGTTCGCCAAAAAAGATGAGGTGAGAATTTATGTAAGAGGAACAGAAGAGTCGTTCAAAGCGGGACGAGAGATAAGTAGAAGAGGAGGAAGACTCGGAAGGGATTATTTAGCTTGCTTGTAGATCTGCACGAAGATCATGGATGAGGTAGGCGTGCCCCGCACTACGTCCATCCCATCTTATATGCATATTCCTCCCCCCGCCTGCCTCGACAATGGAGCGAAAGGTGTTATGTCATTGGCCCAAATATTTCATCATCTGCCAAAGGTATCATTATCATTGACGTAAAGTGAAGGCGCTACCCACGTGCATCTTTAGGTAACTTTTGGCGGCTCAACCGAACAACACCAACGGTAAGATACCGGGTCATTAGTCTAGCTAGACGCACTATATAAAAAGTAATAGTAACAAGCTCCCAGTACCAGTAAAACGATTGCCTCCATGTACCTAGACTAAGAAAAAGTAAGCGTTAGTAACTATTCAAAAATCTTGATATACCTACTCAGGTAACTATTCTATACAACGTTATTAGAATAATATACTTCCAAGGGAGCTAGTGATATACCTACAACCTCAACGACCACATCTACCTATAAAAAACCACAACATCCCCACCCCCCTAACAAACCCAATCCGCATCGCCTTCAAGAAAAATTCTGCCTTCGAAAAAATAAAACTTGGTCGACCTTCCCTGTTCCGCGGTGCCAAAGCGGGGGCGTGGAGAATACCCGGGGACGGCATTTCGTGGCGTTTACTCGGGTCAGTCAGTGTTTTCTAGCGAACGCACCATTTGCAACGACTCATATACTGTACTGACCTATCCTCGAGCCCATCCATGTAGGATTACACCATACGTGCAGTATCCCAATCCTGACCTGATCCCACCTATCCCATCCCAAAAGAGTGTGATTGATGATTGTACTCGAGATAATGCGATTTGTATTCTAATATAAAGTGTCTCGAAGGATAGACGTGTATAAACTGTTTGTTTCTAATACATATATAGTAGGAGGTACTTTCCAAGACATGTTCTATACCCCTGATATCCCAGCTACCTACTGTGTAGTGCAGTACAATACTAAATAAGTTATTACCAGTATTCCAATCCTATCCTATCTAATTAAGTCTAGTCAGTTAAATTACCTAAATCAGCTAGCAACCAACAACTAAACCCACCACCACCTCAGCATCCACATCCCCATCCGACATCAAACAATACATTGAAAGCTGCCCAGGTGCAAGTCAGCCAATCCGTCTCCATACAGCTGGGTTCCCGAAGGTGTACAAGAACTACGCTCAGTATCCCAATCCATATCCCAATCCCACCTATCCCAACTACCTACAACACAGAGCAGTACGACACAACTTATCAGCCAATCCAACCCAATCCAACCCAATCCAATCAGCTACTATAGCACCTCAGTAAGATTCCAGCCACCAACCTACCCAACTTCCTCATCCTGACCATCAGACATGACGTTAAAACCGTCAATCCATACAGCTGGTTCCGAAGGTGTAACCCACCACATTACCGCATTCTTCAGCTTCACTCCGTAACACAAAACTCTCACACTCTCACCCTCTCACCCTTCCCCCATCAGTACCAATGACGTGTGCGAGAAGGACTGGACAGGAATAGTACTCAATCATTCATCACTCCTCCATCCCGGACCCCGAACCACCACCGAAGCAAAACCCCGAATCTCCACATAAAGAAAGAGCTCATTCAAGGTCATCTGCACCCACCTCCCACATCTCTATCTCTATCTCCAAAAAAAAAGTCCAGTCATTGTAATTCGTCCGATGCACCCTTTTCAATTATCAGTACCTACAGTACGAACGTACACTACAACAAGCACGACAACAACAACACCAACAAGGGCCGGGAAAAAAAGCCTAAGCCTATCTATCATTCACGGACAAAGATCCCCCCTTCCCCTCCTTTTCCCCTCCCCCTCCCTCCGCCTCCACCCCCCAAAATGAACCCTCCATCAGAAGGTCATCGCGCATCCTGGCGTATCCTCCAGCCAAAAAAAATCCATGTTCTTCCACTCCACCCTCCCTCCCAAAATCGCCAGTCCTGCAGGCCAAATGCACGTCCCAGATTATTCTCGAGAAAGGAAAAAAAAAAGGTATAAGTAGTATCGTATGTAAGGTCAAACTTAATATTGGGGAAAATAGATAAGAAAAAGAAAATGTGCACCGTGCCGTGTTAGAATCTACTTGACCCCGACCACCACAGATCAATGGTGGTACGCCAACGCAAAAGGCTTCTCAAGGTCATCCAACCTCTAGACCTCATGCGGTCAACGGTTCGGGTACGTCGCCCTCTTTACAACGTCCTGAACTACTTGCATTATCGTACGTCTCTTTTGCGCTTCCTGGCGCTGCTGCATCAGAACGTGATACACCCGAAACGCCGCTATCCCCCTCGTTCATCTCATGGTCGAAGATAATGCCCTGAATGTTCAGGCCATTTTTGTCACTGTCCGAAGTTTTCATGGCCTCCTCGTCCACATGCTCGTCAAGGTTCATGAGTGCTGGAGGACGATGTCGCATGGCTCGTGCCTTGGCTAGGGAGATGGTCTTTTGTTGATAGGTCGTGGTGATGGGTTTAGAATCGTCCCGGTCAATCGTGGCCTTCATAAGCGCGGCCATCCACAACCGCCCCTGCTTGATATTGGGAACGGCAAAATAATGTACAGTTGGTTTGGTGAATGTTACCGCTCTTGAGAGTCCAGCTCGAGGAGGGACGAGCTTGAAGATGAACATGGTATCCCCCGTGCCCTTACTCAAGGTAGACTCTGGCTCCGCAGCAGCTTCCGTCGAGGCAATCGTGGCAGTATGTGACCCAACAGGACTAGTTGGGCTATTGGTGGCACCGGTAAGTGTCGCATGTAATCCAGTCAATCGATCATTGTCGGCAGGGAGAACTCGATGGAAGGAAATGTCAATCAACCCCTTCTCCTCCTGGTCATCTTCTGAGTAGTAATATGATAGTCGTCGCCCTTTCAAGACGAAAAGTCGTGGTTTCCATGTCGTCATAAGGTTGGTACTCTTCTTCTTCATCCATCCACTGTAATCAGCACCTATCATTTGTTCTTGTGGCATCTTCTTCTCAAGCCCACGGGTATAGGCACTCGTCTCCTTCTTGGACTTCTTGCGGGCTTTTGGTGTTGAGGCGTTCTTTGGATCTGGGGATTCGAGGTCAAAGCTTGGCCCACCAGAGGGTGTGCTGGATCCAGTGCGTGCTGGCGACACCAGTGGTGAATCTTTGGAAGAAGGTGCAACATCCGAAGGCGAAGTAACACGCGATTTCTCATGCCCAGTGACGGCATCGGAAATTGCTCGAAGACCAAATGAACGACCGGTGCCAGATTTGGAAGGGAGTAACCAGTCTGCTGGCCCACGAGAGTGTGGTGCATCTGGCGATTTAGCCTCCAGCTTGGTGACCGTGGGAGATGGCATATCTTTAGGTGGCGGAGGTGGTCGAGGTGGTGCGTTGGCAGAACTTTCCGAGGGCGTTCTACGACGACCATTCATCGAAAGACCATAGTATTTTTGGGCGGCCGATGGAGGAGCAGTATCGCGGACCGAATCTACACTTCCAAATCTTGAGTGTCTCGAGTGAGCCGTAGCGCTACGGACTCTTTGTTCATCGGTATAGCTTGAGTTGCGAGAATGCCCCCCAGCTGTGCTTCCTCTTTTGCGTAAAACATTTCTTTGACGTCCATCGGCCTCGCCTCCTGAAAAATAACCCCTGTCAAGGATATCCAAGGCAGTTGAGGGAGTTGTTTCCTCAGGAGAGGCCTTGATCCCAGATGAAGACAATGGACGACTACTCATTGAGAGTGGTGTTGCAGCTCCCATGGTCCAATTTTTATCGAAAGACGGCTGCTTTTTGTGAGCTGTCTCGGTTTTTGGCAATCCGCTTGGTACCGAGGCTAACATTGACGTGGTAAAATCAGTTGTGGAATTCTGTCTTGATTGTTGCATATCGCGGATAGATGCAGCGGAAGGCCGCTTATCCCCAGGCATTCGGGGAAAATCTTGTTTGGTCCTTGGGGATACAGGCGACTCATTTTGGAATGTGTCATGTCGTGGAATTCTGGATTGAGAAAGATTTGAGCCTTTGCGTGGAGAAGAGGAACCTTCCATCAAGCTTGGTATCCTAGGTATTGATGAATTAATACTATGAGTTCGGTTGCGCTCCGATTCCGAGCCAGCCTCACTGCCGTAGGTTACGGTGTTTCGTCTACTGTGGGCTCCGGTGGTTACTTCGTCTTGCAAAGATTTGATCTTTTGCCATGTTTTCAATCTACGCCCCACAGAACCCAGCTCAAATTCTTTGAGAAAGACTGATGTTTGATCCATACCAAGTAGAACGTCACCAGTGATCTCTTGGTCCCGGAAAACCTCACAGTGTTTGGATTCTATACCCACCGTGAAGAGATATTCGGCGACCTGGTCCGCAGTCCAAGTTGAAACCTCTTGCTCCGTGTGTGCAAGTTCCTCCTCCTCGTCCGTTTCCTCTCCATTGATGTAGGATAGCCTATGGTCGAGATGGCTACTGTATTCACTCCCAGAATCATTACCACCTCTTCGATCGGCCACAACTGCACTACTATGAGGCGAGTTCATATCTGTGATGTGTTCATCAATCACGCTTAGAGTCTCATTCATAACAGGGCTGTCCTGGCCATGACCGTGCGATTGCACTGCTGTCGTGATACTTTTTGGGTGAATAGGAGCTGGAACGGGTTTGGGGATATGTGGCACGTCCACTTTGTGCTTTTCAATTGTGTTTCCTGAGGCGAAAGAAGGGCTCAGCGAAGAAGAGGACTCCTTCGGCTTGAGCATCTCCGAGGCACTGGTGTGAAGGCTTGCTTGTGGTGTACTATCTTTTCCTGAAAACATACCAGCTTCGCTTACTCGTGGATTTTCCGGGGATATGGTGGAGGGGGAAGTTAGAGGAAGTGACGAAGATGGCTCTTGGATAGCCTGTTTTGGGGATGGTTTTGGAAGAACAGACGCCGAAGGATATGAGGGAGGCGGTCGTGGTGCAAGTCTGGTATAAACTATTTTTTTGTCAATTCCGCACAAATATCGCATTGGTACTGGATGCCGTACCTTCCGGAAACAAGCCGCTATTGCCATTAATGAGATGTCGCCCAAGATACCAGCCATCGTTAAAATCATCGTCACGTTCAATGAGTTCGACTCGGTCGCCCTTGAATAAGCTCAGTTCATCTGAGCTCCGCGCTGTAAAGTCATCTGTGTTGTATCCGTGTCAGCCATTTCTCCTGGGATAGGAAGGATGAAAAGCGACCGCAAAGCCCCTCTTCGTCCAGAATGCATGAGCCGTATGGAACATGACCGCTGCAGACTTACGGATTACGATCAAAATCTGGCCTGGATTCGGTTTTGGCTGATCCCGCCTGGGCTGCGACTCCATTTGCGATGCCATCGTCTGGAATGTTTTCTTTCGTCTAGACTGAACCACCAAACGTCGTCACCGCGGTGCGGACGGGTTGTATCTAGAACAAACACATCGGCAGAGCGAAAATGCGATTGTTGCAGATGTGGCGGGGAATGATGGTATTCGAGCTTCAAGCGCAGAGTTCCCCAGCGTCTTCCCTGTGGACCAATGTTGGGCGGCTCTAGAATCGGGAGGCCAGCGCGATAGATGAGTTGTTCGGTGGTTGCAAGCGCCAATGACGGTGGGGCTTTAGGTTGGTTCGGAATCGGATAGTCGCAATGGACCAGACGGACGGGGGAATGAGCGACTTAAAATCGATCGAGGTGGGCAGTGGGCGGATAGAGGGCAGATGCGAGTCGGAGGGTGTCTATGAAGACCCGTCGCCAGATGTTGGTGATGGAGGAGACGGAAAGGGGGGTGGTGGGAATGAAGTGAAGCTGTCGTGGATCCGGGTAGGGTGGTCGTCAGTAAATGTTTGGTCTCCCAACTTGGATTTGCCGGGCGCTCTGGCGTCTGCTTGCCCCTCTTGCGCTATGAAGTCAGTACCAGACAAGCAGGCAGGGCCTAAGCCTCGCAGCTCCGGAGAAAGGTTAAAGTGACCAGACGAAAGGGACGAGAAGCTGTCAAATTTAGGAAGTGGGAGAAGTGACTAAATGATGGCGATCCGTGAGAGATGGAGTAAGGGGTAGGTACAGGTAGTGGTGGTGATGATGGTGGTGGTAGCAGTAGCAGTCGCAGTGGGTGAGATGATGAGATGATGAAAGAAAAAATATCTCATCACGGGCTGATCTATTCTATTTTCAATTACACCTTGAAGCCTGAGGGCAGTCGGCTCCCGGTGCCCCAGCCGCCACGTTTATTGAGCCAACTCTCGTCACGAGTGAGCAATATTCTAGTTGAGGTTGGGAGGCTCGCTAGATGTAAGTAAACAATTCCCTACCTATGTTGTACCCCCTCTCTAAGACTGACACAAGCTGCATGTATGTCAAGTCCGACATCTCAGTGTCATGATTCAATGATTGTTCTAGAATGGATTCTTTCCTCAGAATGTACCAAGTAGAATGGAAAGAAGTATCGACGGCCGCTTTTAGCTTCCCACCGTGGAGGCACTAGCGAGGCCCCTATCGCTTATCGTGATAGAAGCTTTGCTCCACCTACTCCGTACGCATTATTCAAGTGTTGGAAGTGAATACTACCTACCTAACTTGGGACGGAAAAGATGGCCTTGCAATAATTCAAGACCATTGTAAAGGGCTTTGATCCTCCAAACGAAAAAAGAATAACACTTGCAAGCATAACCATGTATAACTCAGTCTGATCTCTGTTTAGATTCCCAAGTCCTATTTCTGGGGGTTCTCGATGAGGCTAAACCTAAAACGACGCAAAGCAGATCCGAAGAAGGCTTCGCCCGCAAACAATTGGACCCTTTCCAGTGGTGTACGAGGGCTCGTACCTCCAGAACTGAACCTACATAACCTCCACTTGGACGCTCGTCCTGACGATACCATACCATTCTGTACTTCTACCTATACAGCGTACATACGCTTTTAATACTTCCTGGCTATCCTTGGTCCAGTTCTCTTCTCCCTAAACCTGCTTCTGCTTCTGATTCTGATTATCGTGATCGGCGAATACGAAGATAATTTTTAAGGTTAATATCTGCAATCGCTTGCAACTGTAATTGTAGTACACCGCACTTGGACAGATCTTGATCTCATCATTCACTCCCGTCCTACCGCCATCGCCTCTCGCCTACGCCCACCACACCACAGGCAGGCAATTCCTTCTTACGCCCGGTGGATCTGAAGAACAGGTAAAGGCAGTCGCATCTCTCACTTACTCTCAGCCTTCCCTCCCAAGGTGAAACCCCGCCATCTGCACCTGCCCCGCTGCCCACGCGTGCTCGCTCTCTCTCTCTCTCCCTGGATCAACAACCTTATCCCGTAGTCAATTTTGCGAATCTCTAGATCCTCGACCGGCCGCACGTCACACTCTCATACCCGATCTCCATCTCCATCTCCTCCCATCGTCCGAATGTTGCCATGCTGACCGTGGATGTCTGACTGTGCCGACGACCACGACCAATACCACCTGCACCCACCACTTGTGAGGACCAAGTGCCGATATCGATACGATACCTGCCTTGCCCTGTCCTGTCCTGCGCTGAAGGCTCCATCCACTTATCCCCGATGGTCGTGCGATCCAAGACTGATACCTGTATCCTTGGGAATACGCTTCGGCATACCAATACGTAAAAATCATGCGATACCCGCCCGACAAGAATCGCAATGGCAACGGCGTGCTGTCGGAGCAGGACGTGGTGTCGTCGAATGCCACCCTCAATACCGTCTTTGGCAAGCAGAGGTCCTGGATGACAGCTGGGGCCGGCAATGGGATCAGGGTGCATCCCACACCGCGTGCTTCAACCCATGCTGTGCCGCAGACGCAGACGCAGACGCAGACACAGACACAGAGTTCGAGGTGAGCGAAGTACTTTACTCCATAACATGGCAATGGGCATCTTGGATCCCATCCCCATCTTCCGACACCCTGCCCATTTGCCAACCGTGACCGTGACAGGCTCGAGGCAAAGCCCATACCTTACTCGTAAATCACAAAGAACCGTCATTCTCGGTTGCATGCGCGCAATACATACTAATGCGTCGTCTATCAGATCTGCCACAGCCACAGGCGCAGGCATTCTGCCCTCACCTGCTCCAAGCAACGAGCCGAGCCCGATCCTGTTAAATATTACCACCACGAATGGTCGCGAATCGCATCCACAACAACCTCCCCAGGCGAGTCGCGAGCAAATGCCTCCTCAATCAAATAATACCCCCGACCAGCCCATTCAGATTCCAGATTCACCAGAGGGAGACACAATCTATGTCGAAAGTCCACAGCCCCAAACTACACCCTCGTTCCATACTAACTCACAATCACCTCGACTCACGGAGCAGAGGCAACCCCCGTTCTCACTCAACGGCCAAACCACCGCAACAGTCGAGTCCTTCCTACCCAGAAATCCTCAGTTTAATACTGCAAGTAGCGCCTCGAGGACGAGTACGGCGGCAGGATCGCGGCAGCCTCAAGCAAGAGATAATAGTAATAACCCGGGCACTCCTCAAACCTCTCAAAGACCAACTGTGCCTCAAATCAATGTTCCACCTCAACGATCGACGGCGGCCAGCTCTTTGCCTGCCTTTTTCCAAATGTCTCCAGGGGCAGGACAAGAATATCTGGAGAGGCAACTCATCGCCGCCCAAGTCCATGCAAGTGTGCCTGCAGGACAAGAATATCTGGAGAGGCAACTCATCGCCGCCCAAGTCCATGCAAGTGTGCCTGCAGGACAACAAGAAGCTTTAGTTCAACGCAACAGGACGCAATCAATTGACCTATCCTCGACTTCCATGGTATCCCCACAATTGCCGCACGCTATAGATTCCAATTTTGCTCGCCCTGCCAAAAGACAACGAACTAGAGCACCCATGCCATCATTAAAACCCAAGATAAATATGATAGATCAACAGATGCGATCACTCGCACAGGTCCCCAACTCTTTCCTGGAATATTCAAGGTACGGCTTACTCAAAGAGGCCTGTGAGAACGAAGATGCTTTTTATGTTGCTCTTCATCAGATATTCTGCCTATGGGATTTAGATAAAGACCATCATCGTTCTCAGATTGTGGACATTGCCAATTTTCCAAGCGCAGGCGTGCTTCAAGTGTCTTTTTTGTATCTTGGCTGGTTGATTCGCGACAATACTGCTCTGCTGGCCGATCATAAGACTTGGTTTGCCAACTTTCCGAGTCCTTTTAACCTATTAAAAACCTCGGAGCCCTACATGCGAGCTGTCGACAATGTTGGCGTTTTCTTGAGCAAACTGCAGACAGAGTGGATACCGCTATCAAACGAAGTTGAATCTCGAAAGTATCCCCCGCTCGTAGATGAAATGGTATCTCGCATCGGGCTGTTGTCGCCAACCCTCCAACAGGTTTTCTTCACCGCCTCTAGGCGTAATTTGGGTTTTAAAGAGGATGTTCTTGGCCAACATATGGAAACTCTTTTTCGAAGAGACCGTGAAGAGCATCAGAACCTATCTGCTCGTTACAACACCGCTCACCCTCCGACCTTTAAGGAAATCGAAGCGAGAAATGTCAAGCTCAAGGGTGAACATATCGCAGCGTATCAAAAATTGACTGCGACTGCAACTGCTGCAACGACGGCACAATTTGCTGCAATATCAGCCTCATCAGCTGGAAGTCCGGTTATACAGACTTCCCCAAACCTTCCTCCCGGCAATGGCCATCCCCAACCCAGAATGCGGTCAGACAATAATCAGTTTCACAACACGCAGCAGACAGCCCCATACTCGCAACAAATGCGAATGGCGAGCAATCCATCCCCAGTGGCTTCAACTCCCACATTGCACGGGCGTAATGGAAGTATAAGTGGCCGTCAACCCCACCAAAATGCACCAAGCCCAACAATGCTGCAAGGCCTCTCAATGAATTCTCCTGTCCAGCAAGGATTTCCTCCGACTTTGAACGGTCGAGGGCCCATGAACCAGTACTCGAACCAAACAGCGCAACAATACGCCACGTCCCAATTTCCGCAGCAGTTTCAAGCGCAACAAATGCAATTGGCACAGCAAATAACACAGCAGCATGGTTATCAGGCTCAGCCAGCACAACAGCAATTCTACCACCCTTCGCAACCTCCTAGACTGTCCTCAAATACCCAGAGTATAGAAATGCAACGACAACAACAGCAACAGCAAGCATATCTGCAACAGCAAGCCATGCAGCAGGTGATCAATTTCAACCGAACTGCCGAGATTCGACGGGAGAGCGCTCCTATGATCAACACTCAAAATAATATTCGGTCAAGAAACAGTAGTGTTTCCACTAGTGGCCGCCAAACGCCTGTAAGAAATATGAGTACTGGTTTGTCGCCACACTTGGGCGCTAACCAAGAAGTTCAGACTCGAAATACGTTCAGCATGGGGTCTTCCTCGCCTAATGTTGCGATGCAACCACAGTTCAATCAGCAAAAAATGTTAACTCAGGTCAAGGGGATCCAAAATCGTTATTTTGTCCCCGGGTTAGGACTGCGCCCACAACTGACAGTCACAAACCCAGATCATACATCCATGCATCAGTCCTATCTTCGAAGTCCTGTGCTACGCATTTCCACTTTATCACATCTGGAAAAACCTCAACTTGAGCCATGCACGAGACATTACCAAGTTGTCAGAAGCCTCGCTTTTGGTCCTTCAAAACTCGACCAGGATAAACCGCTAACAAAATTCAACTTCGAAATATCCAGCGAGGACCTGGAAAGAATTCCCAAGGATCATGTGTATGGGTCTGGCAAATCCTCAATGCGAGAACTAGAACCTGGTTCCCTTCAGTATCGCCTGCGTTGTATCCAGGCAAATCCAGATGTCACAGCCTGCCCGCCTGCTGACTGGGTGGTAAGTGATACATATTGGCCTGAGGGCGTTTTTTTGGCAATCAACAAACAACAATTGGAGTTGAGACGAAAGTTTCATCACGGCAAGGACCTTCCAATTGACGTCACGCAGAGTTTTTATGCGGATAGGCTCAACAAGTCTCATGAAATCACGGTGTCCGTTCCAGTATGGGGCCCAAAGACATCCACATGTTTCTTCGGTATTGAGGTTATTGAGATTGTACAACACAATCAGATCATGGAACAGTGCCAGAAACAACGAAAATCTGCGTCACAAACCCTCGATGTCATTAAGAAGGTTTTGGCACCCAAGGATGATGACGATGACGATTTTGCCATGGTGTCTAGTGACCTCGTAATTGAACTTGCTGATCCGTTCATGGCCCAGATATTCAAGATACCAGTTCGTGGGAAAAGCTGCAAACATCATGAGTGTTTTGATTTAGAAACGTTTCTCATTACACGAGTGAGCAAACCCAAACGTCCTCAGCAGCCGTGTATGCCAGACGTATGGAAATGTCCTCTATGTGGTAAAGATGCTCGGCCGTCATCTTTGGTCGTTGACGATTTCCTTGTTTCTGTTCGGGAGGAACTTGATCGACAAAATAAGTTGGACGTCAAGGCAATAATGGTCACTCCAGATGGCACGTGGAAGGCCAAAGAAGAGCAGGCTCCAAAACGGACAGCAACCAGAGATCCGTTTGATGACGATCCGACGGATGATGAAGCGGATGGGAAGAATGCTCGGGCCCCATCGGCGGGTGCAACGAAGAAGGTGCCAGCCAAGGTTGTAGAGATCATTGAGTTGGACGACAATTGAGTGGTTGTTTGACTGTCTTACTCTTCTCTACGAATTTTTCGTGATTTGGGATTTGGGATTTGTTTCACAAAAAAGTGAACTACGGTTGCTTTGGCTTTTGTATATTGTGGAATGGCTTTCAATGGCGTATACGGCGTGTTTGGCATCACATTACAGGGTGGGAAAAAGCGGATTTGGGAGGGTATCTTCTCGTGGTGCTTTACACGAGAGGCTTTTACATTGCTTTGGCGTTTTTTGTTTTGCTTTGCATCTCTACGTTGACTTTTTCGTTGACTTTTTTTCTCTTCTTCTTCTCCTTTTTCGGAGGGTTTTGGGGGAGCATGTTACATACCCAGGGATTTGCATTACTTTTCTGCTCTTGTTTTTTTCTGCTTTATTTTTCTTCTTCCTTGCCAACGTCTGCGAGATAGAGATGAGAGAGGGGATGCATAGAAAAGAGGACAGATACCAAGGGTTGGGGTGACAAGTGTGTTTTTCTGCCTTCCTCCCTAGGAGGGTTTCGGGTTGTTGTCGGACTAGACTTGCTATGCTCTGCTTCTTTTCTCTCGGGAAAGAGAAGAGAAAAGAGGGGTTTGCGGATTGCTGCATGGGAAAGTGGAAGGGGATATGGGAAGGGGGTGTATTCTCTCGTTCTTATACGTAAGATCAGGGATAGTATATCATATACTTACTTCCTTCCTTCCTTCCTACCATCTAAGGTTGCTTTTGCGGTACGGTGCGGTTTGCTAGTTGTGGGTTGTAGGTGAGCTGGGGTGGGTTAGCTAGGCGTGGTAGAGAATGGGACATACTTAGATACCTAGATAGATACCTAGGGACTTGCAGGGATTAGGGAAATACGAAAAGAGTTTTCTCGCTGAGATTTTCTTTTTCTTTTGTTGCTTTTTTTGAGGTGGTGAGGTTGTGAGATTATGGTGTATTCTGTTATATACATACGGGGCTTGGTTTAAGTTCCAACTTACTCCGTACTACTTATGTGTATAGTATGACTATTCTTAAGTAAGGACTATGAGTTGAAGTAGGTTAGTAGGTATTACTAATCTAAAAATCCAGATATATATATATATATATATATATACACAAGGTCTCCTTCTAGCCCCTGAAATTGCCCTTATAGCAAGAAGTAAAGCACTAGAAGCCAGGATCCGGCGGCTAGACCCTGCCCACCCGCTCAAACGATGTGTGAATAGCCCTAGCCCTAAGGCTAGGCCTATCTCTCGCTCTTATAGAGCCCTCCCTCCCTCTGAAGAGATTGACCCAATACAAGACCCTCAGTGGGACAGGGGGTTCAACCGACAGGCCCGCCTTATTGAAATAACAGGACCTGACCCTGGTGGAGACAAGAGCTCTTTTAAGGCCAAATTCCTTGAATTCCTAGCTCTGGTTCCTTCTACTGATCTAGTAGTATTCACTGACGGCTCTCGCTTAGACGACAAGAGCACTGGCGGGGGTGTCTGTCTAACAAGAGGAGGGGCTATTCTCAACACTAAGATCTTCTCCTTTGGCAAGGTGCTAGAGATATATGATGCAGAGGCTAGAGCTGCTCTACATGGCCTAGAACTAGCCCTGGACTCCCCTTTCTGGTCGTCGGCCAGAAAGTGCTGGATTTGCCTCGACAACCTCGAAGCTACCCTACAGCTGACCTACCGATCCTGCGGCACCTCGCAAGAAACCTTCAACAAGGTCAACGAATTAGCTCAATTGTACCCTGGGAAAATACAGACAAGGTGGTGCCCTAGCCACATAGGGATCCTAGGCAATGAGATTGCAGATAAAGCTGCAGGGAGAGCAGCACGGTTACCCTCTCCTGAACCCTCCCCTTTACTCTGTACAGCCACGCTTAAGAGAGAGGTAAAGGAGACAGGGATTGCGCTTGCGAAGAAGCTCTGGAGCACGACACTTCCAGCTCTCTATAAGGACCTAGGGCTCTACACCTGGTCCTCAAAGCCTAAATCTCTCCAGCTACCTAGAGAGGTCCTCGCTCGCTTAATTGCTGCTCGTTCTGGACATGGAGACTTTACGGCTTACCATCTTCGCTACTTTCACTTCGACTCGCTACTTGAGTCAGGGAATTGTAAGTGTAAGAAGGCTAAGACCCAGTTCCACCTACTCTTCTGCAAGCTAGCAAACAACAAAGACCCTAAGCTTTTAGCTAAGGCCAAGAAGAACCCCCAGCTGCTCTTTGGACATCACTGCGAGAAGCTTTTTAGCCTGGTCTACTTTAAGACCGAATTCTACACCAAAATCTGTCTCTAATTAGACACGCCTCCTTTTCTTTCCCTTCTCGTTTAATTATATATCTCCTTTGTCTTACCCTGGTTCTAAAACTAATTAAGGATAAGGGCTGTTCCGAAAGTGGAACTTCTCTTTAAATTGTCTCTTGTAAATTAGCTCATTCGTTTACACCCCCCGTAGCCTAGGGCACCCCCCTAGCGTCATTTGCCCTATTTTGGGACTCTTCTAGGACCTAGCCCACGCGAGCTAGAATCCGCCTGACGTTAAATAGTAATAAATAAATAAATACACGAGGTCTAGGCAATAAGTATAAAAATTCTACCAAGTCCGTATATTCCTATTCCTATAACCTATTCTTTTCATTACATTAAATCACCTCCCTACTTTATTCACTTTATCCACTTTATTCCGCTAAAAAAATATCGTTTATACGGAGTACGAGTATCGCGAAGCTTGAAGGGGTTTGATAAGGGCGATGGAGGGTTTGGGAACTGTGTGTGGGATTTTTTGGGGGTGGGGAGGAGGGGGAGGGGGATGATGGGGTGGGAGTATGAGTGTAAGTATGAATGAGTGATTGTTTGGTTAAGGCGGGGGGGTGGAAGTTGGGAG